AACAACAACAACAACAACAACGTATAGTTTCTTAAATGTGGGCCAGCAGCCAAGTTGGGAAGGGAGAAATAAATTGAGAAGAGGTGGTTTGTTTTCAACTCTGCTAAATTTGAAATCATCTTGGGAAAGTCCAGAACTGAAAGTGAGAGCCAACGAAGGTGTCTTTGAAGATGCCATTTCAGTCAAAGCGGCCACCACCTTGGAGTCCACATGCATGACACCATCTGCAGTAAGGGGAGGTGAAATGTTGTTCACCAGGACCTACCAACAGGCTATGAAGCCACTTTACCGACGGGCCCTAAGAAATGCATTTCTCTGTGGAAAGTGCATCCAATAGGAAGTTACATGAGAAAGTGGGATAGAAGGCTGTGCATGGACTGTAACATAAACCAGGAAGTCAAAAGGAGCAAAGCTTTATTGACAAGGGATAAACCTGTCTAAAAATTCACCAAAATACCAACCACAGTTGTCTTTGGTAGTAAGAGTACTTTTTTCCCCATTCTTTATTATTTATTCTTCCCAGAGTTTGATTTTGTACATTAGACACACATTACTTCTGTAATAAAAACAATTAACTCTAGGATATACTAAGTTCATTTCCGTTCTTCCACATACACTCGTAATACCAGCTACTACGTTCAGGGCCAGCCTTACTCATGCCACTGTCCCTCCAACAACAGAACAGCAGCAGCAATTCCAATAAACCAAAAAAGACCAAAAAATTCACTGCCATTGAGTTGATTCGACTCATAGCGACCCCTCCCTTGGGTTTCTGAGGAGGTATCTCTCTATGGAAGAAGATTTCACAGGTTTCCTTCCAAGGAGTGGCTGGTAGGTTTGAACTGCCAGCCTTTGGGTTAGCAGTCAAATGCCTTAGGCACTATACCTCCAGAGCTCCAGAAACCTTACAAATCCAGCTACTGGATTTCCTAAATCAGAAACCCCCCAAACAGAAAATACACACCCACCAGCAGTAGTCTTTCCTTTTGATCTTTTCAGGGAACACCTAGATGCATCCCTGAGATATCCTCAAGGCCACAGACCAACAGCAATGTACAAGAACCAGGAGGCCACAAAAGACTGTTACGTGGGCAAAAAGCACACTGCAGTACGTGCTTTGCTGAGAGAGACAGACCAAAAGCAATACACAGCTTTCTGTTCACATTCCTCACTTCCAATGCTTATGTCTAACTGCCATTTTAAGATCAAGTCACAATGAAAACAGAACAAGTTATTTGTTGTTGACAAAGGCTTTTGACCTGCATAAAGGTGAGACTAAGAAACACCTAGAGGCATGCTATTTTATATACAGGTATGGGAAGCTTAGCACACACTGTACCTTCTGTGAAATGGGGTGTTATGTGATTTGGACGTTATGCCAACACCATATTAAAACCTTATGGGAACCCACTTTCACTTGTCATCCGTTGCTGCTGTTGCTGCTACTGGAAAAGGCTGGAGGAATGGGTACCAGTCAGAGGGCAGCAGGAGGAGTGAGGGAGAGGGAGGGAGGGAGAGAGCGAGCAGGGAGCAAGTGCCCAGCCCTACCCACCCAGGCAGCAGGAGCCACCAGCACTTCCTGTCCACCCTCACCCCCACCATTAACAAACCTGAGAGCTCAGGCCCCCGGCCATGGCCTCTGCCTCACCTGCCTGTGCCCCACCCATGGTCTGGTGCTTCAAGAGTCTGGGTTTGGGGTCTTTAAAACCGTAAAGGGGAAGGAATCAACAAAAGGAGAGCAGCTTCCCCTTTTAAGAATAAGCAAAACCCACCACCTTAGGGGACCACAGCATATACAGATGTATGTTGTCCAAAGGGCCATTAAGTGACGCCTAACTGTATGTGCTCTGGTCATTTTTAAATCAAGGTGGGCTGTGCTATTAATTACCATGCTGCCTGTTAGCACTGGCCAATGGTCTGAATTAGTCAGAGCTGCTTCCTGTCCTAAATCAAGCACCGGGATAAAGAAACGATAGGACTGGTCTGCGTGGAGACGCTGAGTCAGGTCTATGAAGTCACGTCCCTGGGTGGAACTCATTCCAGAGAGTCTGGCTCGCGCTACACTCACATTTCAGCCAATATCAGCATTTCAGCGGTGGGAAGGGAACAGGAAGCAGTACTTCTGAAAGAAGGAAACTCCCATTTGAAGCCAAGCAGGACACAGGGACTTGATTCATCCCCGGACATGCAGGTTACTGAGCAGGACAACATGACTCTTTCCTGGTACAGATCACACAGAACATTCCGGGTCCCTCAGCTCTGAGGAGTCCACGGGGCAGTCACACAGTGTGAAGGACAACAAGGACATGGGTTGTTTTCACATAGGCTTTGAAGCAGGGCACAGTTTTCTACTGGGAAGATACAGAAAACACGTAATAATATCCATGTGTTGTTCCAGAAAAGAAAATATAATACCATTTTCTGGAAATTTGTATTATTTGGCAAGAGACAAAAAAGCCCCATTTTTAAACAAAGAGACAAAATAAATAGTTTATACCCATGAGGAGACTTTTGCTTTGAAAGCCAAAAGAAACTATTAGTATTTCTCAGAGAAAAAAAGGCTTCTATCCATTTGAAGCTGTTTCTCCTTATATAACCCAGGAATTGCCACAAGTCAATAATGGAACGCTGTCATTTGAACAGGGAGCTCTGGTGGCATAGCGGTTAAAGCACTCAGCTGCTAACTGAAAGGTCGGTAGTTTGAACCTACCAGCTGCTCCATGGGATAAACATCAGGCAGTCTGCTTCTGTAAAGACTGACAGCCTTGGGAACCCTATGGGGCTCTTGTCCTGTGTCCTCCAGGGACACTGTGAGTCAGAATCGACTCCATGGCAGTGACTTTGGTTTGAGCTTTGCTTTTGTGTAAAGATCATAGCCTTGGAAATTCTATGGGGCAGTTCTACTCTGTCCTCTAGGGGCGCTGTGAGTCAGAATTGACTGGAGGGTAGTGGATCTGGTTTGGGTATTTGAACAGCACAGGAGACACTTAAATTCTATCCTTGAAAAATCAGGCTTTGGGAAAAAAGAAGAAACTTCAGAACTATGAACAAAACCTGAGTTGTACAGTCCTTTCTTGAAGTGGTAAGATTCTTTGTTTTGCCATTGGATAACTTTCTGAAGTTAATTCCAGTTTCAAATCCTAATCTGAATCCTGAACGCAAGTGCTCAGCCCGTTTCTCTAAATGCCAACTTAAAGTACACAGCTGTGTTAGGATCATCGAGTCCTAACTGTCCTTGTTGTTGTTGTTGTTGTTGTTATTTGCCATCAAGTCGGCCTTGACTCATAGCGACCCCTCCTTGGGTTTCCGAGGCAGTATCACTATGGAAGTAGGATTGCCCAACCTTCCTTCCGAGAGTAGTTGTTTGTTGTTGTTATGTGCCATGGAGTTGGACCCTACTCATAGCAACCCCTCCTTGGGTTTCCAAGGCAGTATCACTACAGAAGTAGATTGCCCAACCTTCCTTCCAAGGAGTGGCTGGTGGGTTTGAACCTCCAGCCTTCTGGTTAACAGTCAAGTGCCTTAGGCACTATGCTACCAGAGCTCCTAACTGTCCTAGCACACAGTAAATAAAAATTCACGTCACTTACTCATTTCTTTCCAGATTTATGAGCAGTTCTTTGTTTTCCAGTCGTATGCGGACATTCAACAGTTCAGGATGATTCTGAAAGATAAACAAGAGACCGTCAGTGAAAGACTGAAAGACAGTGTAGCTTACCAATTATCTGAGCATGCTCATAGTAAACACACTGCTGGCGAGTCAATTCTGACTCATAGTGACCCTAGAGGACAGAGGTGAACTGCCCCCATAGGATCTCCAAGGCCATAAATCCTTATGGAAGCAGACTGCCTTATCTTTCTCCCTCCGAGTGGCTGTTGGGCTCAGATTACAGAAAATTCATTTCCTTCTTGGGAATGTTCTGAGACCCCAAGTACAGGAGACCAGACCCAGAGTCTGGAAAACACATCATCCCTCTAAGACAGCACTGACAAGTTCTGCATTCCTGACTGCTGTACCCCATTTCTTCACCCACATATCCCCGGGACTTTTTCTACTCCACCCCTGCATCAACTTGTTCCTCACTATCTCTATAGAGAGCACCTTTGTTCCCCATCTGTTCCTGCCAGAAATTTAAAGCTACCCACAACTCCTCTTTCTCCATCACCCCCTGCATGTAATCCATTCAAAAGTCCTGGTGATTCATCCTCCAAAACACACCTGCTGCTGTCCAGGTCTCACACCCTCCTCCATCCGTCATGGTTGAAACCACAGTTGCATCTCCCCTGAATTACCGCAATGCCAGTCTAATCCAGGTTCCCTAACATCTCCCTTTGCCCTCCCCTCCATCCGTTCTCCAGGGGCAGCCAGGATGGCATCTTTAGGAAAGTAATTGGACCAATTCACCCTACTTATAATGACCTACACTGGTTTCCCACTGCACTGGTAAGATGTCAACTCTTCCTTACAGCTTACAGAGTCTCTAGGAATGCCTGGGGGGTTAGTGCACCCAGTTAGTGCATTCAGCTTCTGACCAAAAGTTGGTGGTTTGAGTCCACCCAGGGGCTTCTCAGAAGCAAGGCCTGGCGATTACTCCCAAGCTTACCCAATGAACAGGTGTGGACACGACTCGAAGGCAACCAACAGCCGCCATACTACTCCCCATGTCAAAGGTAAAGCTCTAACTTCTGTTAAAAAAAAACCCAAAACCAAACTCACTGCCATCGGGTTGATTCTGACTTAGGGTCTTCTTGATTTTAATTGATAGGCGATATCCATGAAGATAAGCTTCAACTCAAGGATGAAGGTGAAGCTGGTGATTTCTATGCACATGAAATGGTTGCATGTATTTTGAGGTTTAAACCAGTCTAGTTTTTTATGGATTCATTCCAGCAAATGACATAGAAACTTCTTGTAATCTTGTGAAAACCATACTTCTTCACTCATGTATTTTGACACTGTGTATAAGAATTATGTAGATTTCTGAGTGTTTACTGAGCTTTTAAAATTCATATTTGTATTCCTAAACTATGTAACATTAAACACTTGTTTTAATTTTAATATGATGCATAAACATGTTTCCAAGCACTGCCTGTTTCTGAGTCTGTAACAGACTTTTGTCTAAATTTACTTACACTTTCTAAAACTTGGATTTAATGATGTTACGTAACGTTCTCTCTAGGGATCACAATTTGTTCTTATTAATTACATCTTAGACAAAACAAAAGTATTAATTATGCTTACAATGAAATTTTACAACAAAAATATGTCAAGTTTGCCAAAAAGCAGAAGTATGTATCTATCAAAAACCAAACTCACTGCCATTTAGTCAATTCCAACTCATAGCGACCCCATTGGGTTTCTAAGATGGTAAATCTTTGTGGAAGTAGATGGCCCGTCTTCCTTCTGCAGAGCAGCCAGTGGGTTTGAACTGCCAACCTTCTGGTTAGCAGTCAAATGCTGTAGGCACCATCCCTCCAGAGCTCCTTAAAGTACCTACAGGAGCCCTTAT